TATCTATCTATCTATCTATCTATCTATCTATCTATCTATCTATCTATCTATCTATTTATCTATCTATCTATCTGTCTGTCTGTCTGTCTGTCTGTCTGTCTGTCTGCATAGGCTGAACTTCAGAAAAGGAAGGGAATTATGTGCATGGAAAAAACTTTAGAAATAACTAATTCATTTCAAGAGCTCCCTTAATACCTGAAGGAAAGCCGGTATAAACATGGAAACTATTTCTTCCCTGTGAATTTTCTTGTTGCTTGCTCTACCAGGGAATTCATAACGAGTGAACCCACTAGATCTGAGCAGAGAATTTCAGCTCGTAAAACGAATACAAGGAATAACTAAGCAAAAACACAAAACAAAAACAGATAAAAATCAACACCGGGTGGAAAAGAAATCTGAGTCCACGTTCGTTGTGTGTTGGAATCCCTTGCCTGTCGCAGAAAAATTGATTTTCCTCCTGGGAGAGCGATTGGGCGTGGTAAAGAGACAAAGATGCGAACGTTCCCGCTCCACGCGACTGTTCTGACCTCCCTGGCAGGCAAGCCAAGCTGGTTCCGACTTGGCTCCGTCTGGTGTTGATAAAACTCTGATTACCATCACAAAGGGAGGAAATGCGGGGAATGAGGATGGAGGGGAGAGAGGGCGACAAGGGAGCTTGGTCAATTGCCCGACTCAATTTGGCTCAGTTCACAGAGGGGCCACTGATGATTTACTTAATGTGACTTGGTTCATTAGCGCGGCTGTATACTGCACAGGGAACGCCAACACAGGTCTTTTGTAGCTCTTGTCCGGGAGAAACAGCAAAGCTACATAATCAGACATGATCATTATCATGCTTGGCAGTAAAAGGCAGTGAAAGAACTTTTGTCAGAGACTGGGTGGCTGCGAACACAACCAACATCGATAACAACAGCAACAAATACAAAAGCAAGTGGAGAACAACGACAGCAACAACAACAACAACAACAACAACGACAACAACAACAACTACAATTGCAACAGTAATACAACTACTACAATTAGCAGCAACAACAGCAACAGCAGCTGCAACAGTAAATGCGGCAAAAACTGCTACAAAACAACAACAACGGGAGCACTGGCAGCAGCAACATCAATTTACAATGGCAATAGCAGAAAAACAACAACAAAAGCATAGAAAAACCAACAATTTTGTTCAAGTTAATACGAAAAATTTTTTTAGCTTAACTTGCATAGGAATGTAACCTGCCTCACCCCTTTTGATATAATTCATTTTACAATCCTTGGTACTGCAATGTCAAGATGTGGAAATTCGTGAAATTTAGTTACGTACCATATAATAAATATGTCAATATGGTTGTGAAGATCCGAGAGCTGTTGTCTTCAAAACTTTAAAGTCAAAAGAAGTTGTTTGGGGGGGGGTTGTCTTGTGTGCCATCAGGCCGAAGCCTTAGACTATTTCTAAAGAACCATTGCCCTTGATATATTTGTCTCTCTTCACCTCCTGGGACCCTATTTTCCGCGAGGGCATAACAGAATGCTGGCCAGTTGGGCTCTCATTCCCATCTGATTCTCTCTCTCTCTCTCTCTCTCTCTGTGTCTGTCTCTCCTTCTTCTTCCTCTTTCTCCCCCTCTCTCTCCCTCCCCCCTCTCTCCGACTCTCTTTCTCTCGCTCTTTATACACACACACACACAAACACACACACACACACACACACACACACACACATCTCTCTCCTTCTCTCTCTCTTTTTTCAATCTATCTGTCTATCTATCTATCTATCTATCTATCTATCTATCTATCTATCTATCTATCTATCTATCTATCTATCTATCTGTCGAATGGTCCGACGATCTATTAATCAAACATTTTTTTCTGTTGAAATCCTCCTGGATGCACATAGTCGTATGTTTCATTCGCAGGTTAAAAGTGTCCCACGAAGGTGTGTTTTTGCACTCTGTTGAACCCAACGAGTTCGTGGATTCTCCCGAGTTCGATTCTGTGCCCTTCCAGGGGGAGACAAGCGAGAAATTCCAGGTAAAGTACGTGCAAAGTAATATTAAGGAGGTGTTTGATTTTTTTATTTTTTTTGTGGGGGTGGGGGGAGGGGGGTCAAAAGGGACTGAAAAAGGGCTGTCTGTCGTGCCTCAGGTTGGTCGAAAAATTTGCCTGAACTTGCTGATGGTTAGGGTTCAAACCCCAGCTGGGTTCCTATTTTGCTCTTGTTTTTGTTTTTTTCCTTGAATTTTTTTTTTCAATCTGAGCACTGCTGGCGTCGTCGGTGGTGTCATTGATGGCTATTTTCTGCCACTGCGCACAAAACAAGTGAGTTCGATTCCCACAGGGGAAATCTATGATATCAAGTGTCAGTGCATCTCTTTCGGGGCACTGTGCCCCTCATAGGCCACTTTAGCCCTGGGAGGCATAGCACAAGCGGCCTGGTTCCTAAAAAAACTACTAATATTGTGTCAATGAGAACGTTAACTTTACTGTGAAATGTCACAAACCATTTGGTCTTCGGGAAAGCCTTACACAGTTTACAAAGTGATAAATTGTGGGAAGTCTACTTCGTCTTTTACTCTGGTTTAATCAGAAAAAAAAGCCTCACTGACACTGATTATATCGCAACACTGTGCTGGTACACATCATACTGAACTAATTAGTTATTTTGTTTTTGTTTTGTTTTTCGTTATACGTTTCCTATCAACACGTTCGCCTGTGGCGCTTGCTCTAAATTCTGCCTTGCTAAATTGTATTATGTGATGTCAGTGTAACCTCTACTATTGCTCATAACGAAGACATTTTGCAACAGGACAGGACGACTGAAATGTAGGGATAAGGAAGCCACGAAGGATAATTATGTTAGTTGGAGAAGAGTGGTGGTGGTCATCATTAAAATTTCTGTCCTGCAATTAATGATTAAATCTAGAAAGAGATTTTTGCTCTTCATCCAAATACACAATAACTCTTATCTTCATTTCTTCCTGTCTTCTTTCTTTCTTGTTTTCTTTCCTTCCAGTGTTCTTTCCTACTTGCCTTCTTCCCTTCCTGCATTCTTGCCTTCTTGTCTTCATTCCTCTTTGTTTTTCTTTTCTTCCTGTCTTCCTTCCTCCTTGTCTTCTGCCCTTCCTTTCTCCTTTTCTTAATGACTTCTTTCTTTTCTGTCCTTTTTTCTTTCTGTCTCCTTCCCTTCTAGCTTTTTTCCCCTTCCTGTAATCTCCCCTTTCGGCATTCTTTTCTTTCTCACTGCCATTTTCCGTCCTTCATTCCTTTCCTCTCTCCAGCCACGATGTCAAGAGCTCGTGGGCTCTAGTGGTTGAATGATTTAAGATATCAGAAAATATAGCCCGGCAATGTCGATAACAGTGGGAACCTGGGTTGTCACTGGGAAGTGTTCTTAAGCAAGACACGATAACCCTTGTTTTCTTTTTGGTCCCGTGTCCCTTTCTCAGAGTGTCTTTTTTGTGATCTTATTCGTTCCAGACAATCATTGACTTTTAAAAAATGTGAGTGAATATGTACAATGATATTTCAACAATAAAATGGATATATGAGAGAAGAGGAATAACAACGACTATATCTATTTGTTAGTGTTTGAGTATCTAATGTATCAGTATTTTTTATTTTCTCCTGGCTGTTGTCTCTTATTCGCGTAGTTTCTTCAGGTAGGCCTACGTACCCCCTTTTCCACTCTCTTCGCACAGACAGACCAGGTTTTGGAATTATTTTCTGTCACCGACCCTATCAATTAATAAAGATATATCTACAAAATCACATTGGGGGGAGGGGGGAGGAGTGATTCTAATTGGCGACTTTGTTAAAGTGCTTAGTATCCTACCCTGACTAGAGAGCAGACAACAGTCATACACCATGTAAAGTGTAAGAAGATTGAGAACACTCTGTTTGTGTTGTAGCAAGTCGCTACCTTAGAATTAAAAAAATTTATCTGACATTTTTGGCCGTTTTGAGTTACTAGGTCCATGAGGTCAGAAACCAAAATGTGTCACGACGTAGTGGAATCAGCCGCTCGTCAATTTTGGGCATATGAAGTTATTGGTATCAGCTTAAAGCCTGTTCATTTGTCTTGCTTTGGGAGAAAAATATGTGTATCTATGTTGAATTGAAATCGAAATATTTGCAATTGAGGGAGGTCAGGGTTGCCTGGTTTCAGATGTAAAATTAGCGAGAAAAGGGCCGCCAAAATATGGTAATTTCCATAGATGGAAACTGAAAATTTACAGTTTTTTGTACCTTTAATCATTGTTTTTCAGTAAAAATCCATGCAGAAATGTGTTTTAAATGGATGTAAAAGATGTTAAGAAAATTTTTTTTTTTAAGAAAATAGGAAAAATGTGGTTGAATGGCAAGAAAAACGTAAATTTCTTTGATTCCACTATTTTCACGAGAGCCTGATTTCACCACGATGCCTCAAAGAATTGACTTCGGAAAAGCTTGACATGTTGTGAAAATTAAAACTGAGTGCCAGAACAATGTACAAATGAAGACACGATAACCTTTTGTAGCGTTA